ACATATTAACTTTATAAAACATGAAATAACTCCCCCCACCCCAAAACAAGTAATATTAGATAACCACTGAATACTGCCTAGCTGAGAGGAAAACAGGTATGAGGTAAAGAGTTAACAGTTTTGAAGATATTATTGCCATAGCAATAAAGCATTAGAAAAAGAAATTCCATGGAGCAGAGATGATTTACTGCACAGTCTTAATGTAAGAATCAATTAACTTTAGTAGGCTGCTTAAATTTCTTTAAAGATTATGATATAAAACTGAAAATCTCGACTGTTATCATATGTGGTAAGAAAAGTACATAGCATTTTGTGGAAGATTATATACCTTATAAAATTTAGCCAAAATAATACAAGGAAAAACCTGTGAATATTCTCAGGGAATTATTAATATAAAGATAGCAGGAGAGACCAATTATAATCTGGGAGAAATTTGGCAATTCCAAATGGGAATTTCATTGTAAGATCTTTTTAAAATTGTTCCCTATTTTCCTGTAAGTACAATGCTGTCTCTTATTTATAGACAAATATCCTTTTATTTGTACTACAATTCCTTTTGGTTAGTCTACTTAAGTATAATTAATTTTAATTACTAAAGAACCACTTTAAAATCTGGAATGTCTGAATAGATCTTGCAAAAAAATAGCTGTATAACAATTTCAGCAGATATGACCATAATAGAAAAGAATCCCCTATATGTGGTTGAATGTTATAGTATCCTAGTCTCTTCACCAGAGGTAAAAATTAGATTTAGTTATATTAACATAAAATACATTCTGGCAGAATAAGTTCAATAAATGAATGAGAAAATGCTACATTAAATTGGAACTAAGCCACAAAAGATCTCCCTACCCCTATTTCATTCTTTATCATAGTGAAAACTGTTTCTCAATACCTCAATTTACTTTGTGCATGGAATTGTTTTTACTACAGTTGTTTACTGGAGAGGGAATTATCTTTATCCTATTGCAGTGTGGAATTTTAAATTAATGAAGTTACTTGTAAATTCCCACAAATCCCCAAGTGGGATATAATTTAACTGTTACTAGAGACCAAGAGGATCCACTTTACTCTGGATTTTTAGAGTAAAATCGCAGCAAATATCTCATGTCATTTGTTTTTAGATGATCATAAAACAAAACTGATGTTAGTCTGGCCCACAGGCACTTAGATAGACTGGCTTTATAGATTACGGGCTGACTCATACTTAATATTGTCGTCCATCTTATACCAGAGTCTTCATTAGCACGTCAGGCACACAGAGGACTGGTAAACAAAGGAATCCACAGTATGCTACATGTTGCAGATCTCCTAGAATCTTCCAACCGTTTTTATCCTTTTCCTTAAGTATGTCAAAATGAGCCACTTTATTGCCACGTTGAAGGGAGGAAAAGATTATCCTTGGTTTTAAATGGAGAACTGCTAGGAAAATTTACTTAAATTATGAGTGAAACACAGAAACACGGGCAAAGTATAGAATGACAGACACCAAATGCACAAAAAGAAATTTAACTGCACAGCAAAGACAAATTTTCACAGAGGGATACCATGTATTAGAGAGAGCATTTCAATTACTGTCTTTGGTACAAAATTATACAGTGTATATACACAGTCACTACTATATGTATGACCTACACACACTATATGTACATTCACACACACACACATATATATATATATATATATATACACATATGTATTTAGGACAGTCCTTTTATTTATTTCTTTTTCTTTTTTTTTAAGATAAGGTCTCCCTCTAAAGATAAGGTCACCCAGGCTAAAGTGCAATGCTGTGATCATAGCTCACTTCAGCTTCAAACTCCTGGGCTCAAACAATCTTCCCATCTCAGCCTCCTGAGTAACTGGGACTACAGACATGCACGATGATGCCTAATTTTTTTTATAGAGATGGGATCTCACTATGTTGCCGAGGCTGATCTCAAGCTCCTGAGCTCAAATGATCCTCCCGTCTCGGCCTCCCCAAGTGTTGGGATTACAGGTGTGAGCCACCAGCTGGCTAGAAGAGTCATTTTTTTCCCTAAATGTGCTTGTACATTCTTCTACAGGGATGTGTTGCAAATAATTCTGAAATATATATATATATTTATATATATAGAGAGAGAAATATATATATATGTATGTGTGTATATATATATATGGAGAGAGAGAGAGAGAGAGAGGAGTATGTTAGGGAAGTTCAGTGCTCTTCTCCTTCTTCTGGTAGGGAAGGTATTCACAAAAATGTATTTATTGACCATTAATGTTTTGCTGTAAAAATTCAGTCATAAAAAATTTCTAACCCTGGGTAGGATAGTATCTCCACACAACTTATCTTTTGGCCTATGTACTCATTCTGAAGCACAATTAGTTGCCCCACTGCACAATGCCTTCTTGAATACGTAAAAGAATGTTCATAGAAAATACAAACAGAGGAGACTGTATATACAAGGGCAGAGAACTTGTGATCTGTCCGTCAAATTCAGATTTTTGGACCACCTGCATCAGGATCACCAGTAAGCAGGTTAAAATGCAGATTCATGCCCAACATATTGGCTCACACCTGTAATCCCTGCACTTTGGGAGGCTGAGTTGGGGGGGATCACTCGAGATCAGGAGTTTGAGACCAGCCTGGCCAACATTGTGAAACCCAGTCTCTACTAAAAATACAAAAATTAGCCAGGTGCGCTGGCATGTTCCTGTAGTCCCAGTTTCTTGGGAGGCTGAGGCAGGAGAATGGCTTGAACCCGGGAGACAGAGGTTACAGTGAGCAGAAATTGTGCCACTGCATTCTAGCCTGAGTGACACAGCGAGACTCGGTCTCAACAACAACAAGAAAAATTGCAGATTCATAGGTCCGATCCAATAATTAATGAGACTGTTTTGAGGTTCAGGAATCTGCACTTTTAACACACCCCATATGATTCTGCTGTACACTAAAATGTAAATCACTGCTACATTTCTGCAACCTTTAAGAACTAATTTGTGCTTCTCATTTTATTTGAAGATGGAGCCCTGACAGCAATGTTTGCTACGGCCTCCTTCTGCAGTCAGCCTGAAGCAAGGAGCTGGAGGTAGACAGGGCAAAGCTAAAAGATACCAAAACAGTATTATAAAAAGAAAATAATTTATCTTCATATAGGCTCCAAACCCAATGTAGAATGTGTGGATTTTGTTGTACTAACGGAAATACACAAACCCTACTAAAAAGAATGCTGGCCAGGCACGGTGGCTCATGCCTATAATCCCAGCATTTTGGGAGGCTGAGGAGACCAGCCTGACCAACATGATGAAACCAAATCTCTCCTGAAAATACAAAAATTAGCCAGTGTTGTGGCATGTGCCTGTAGTCCCAGCTACTCAGGAGGCTGTGGTGGGAGGATCACTTGAATCTAGGATGTGGAGGTTGCAATGAGCTGGGACCAAAAAAAAGAATGCTATGGATATTAAGCGACAGAAGTACTATAATAGTAATGCTTTTAAATGGGCATATGAGTTTATAATCATGTTGACATCTTAGATTTTAATGTAAGCTAAAATGGACAAGAAACAAAAAACAAAAATTCTTATGTCTGAGTGGAAAAAAAGTTCTTTGTTATTTTCCCAGTGTTATTATAATAATGCTAATTTACTTTTTAAATTTTTTGTTGCTCTCTGCATCCAATAGTGCTATAATTTTCTTTTCTTTTCTTTTGAGATGGAGTCTCACTCTGTCACCCAGTCGGAAGCGTGGTAGCATGATTTTGGCCTACTGCAACCTCTGCCTCCCAGGTTCAAGCAATTCTCCTGCTTCAGCCTCCTTAGTAGCTGGGATTACAGGCGTCTGCCACCATGCCTGGCTAATTTTTGCATTTTTAGTAGAGATGGGTTTCACCATGTTGACCAGGTTGATCTGGAACACCTGACCTCAAGAGATCTGCCCACCTCAGCCTCCCAAAGTGCTGGGAGTACAGGCATGAGCCACCATGCCCAGCCTATACTTTGCCTTTTTAATAAAAAGCTGAGAGAATATTTTTTCCCATAACACATCACCAAATTCCTTTTTCTCCTTTTGCAATTTCCAAATAACACTGGGAAATCACTCATATATACTCAATTCAATGGGGAGAGATAGCATGCTGACCTCTACATAGCATTAGAAATAAAAACATAGTGGCTCATGCCTGTAATCCCAGCACTTTGGGAGACCAAGACAGGTGGATTGCCTGAGGTCGGGAGTTCAAGACCAGCCTGACCAACGTGGAGAAATACCATCTCTACTAAAAAAAAAAAATACAAAATTAGCCAGGCGAGGTGGCGCGTGCCTGCAATCCCACCTACTAGAAGGCTGAGGCAGGAGAATCGCTTAAACCCAGGAGGCAGAGGTGTGGTGAGCAGAGATTATGCCCTTGCACTTCAGCCTGGGCAACAAGAGCAAAACTCCATCTCAAAAAAAAAAAAAAAAGAAAGAAATATAAGCAATATCCCGCATCATTAATGAAATAAAAACTACAAATTCATTCCCACAAGGAAAGATCCAAATGGCTAGATGCTTGATCTGGATCATTGTTTCTTGTTATTTTCATGGCAACACTGCATTTTGTTTAAAAACACACAGTATTTTATAGCACTGATATACACAGTAGGCATAAATCATTGTGTCCACCTGCTACACACAATGAAACCCCAAACCAAAACAACAGTGATAATAACCATCATCCTCCCTCCTCCCCCTCAAAAAAAACAAAAACACTTTCTCCAGTGCTGAGAATTAACTATTAACTATCATGCTAAATGCTTAAGGCTTAATGCATATTTCAAAACAACTGAAATCAAACCACAGCTTTTCTTCCAAATATACCTATACAGAGCAGATAATCAGAGGCACACTCAAAGTGTCTCTGTACCCCTCCCCTTCCACTACCTGTCCATCTTCTTCACTTTTGGTATAACATTTAGAATAACAGTTAAGAAAATCAATAAAACTGCTGAGGAAATTGGTGTTCGAAGAATTTTTCACAAAATCAGTATTTCCCAAATAAACTTTATTTTGCAAAGAATGTCACAATATAGTCATGTAAATTTAAATATGGCACATTGAGCAGTATTGACGCAAATTATATAGTCACAGCACCACATAATGATGGTTCGGTCATCATACCATATATATGATGGTGGCCCCATAGATTATAATGGAGTTGAAAAATTCCTGTCACCTGATAGGAATGTCTTGATCCTGACCTGGCATATGCCTAGGCTAGTATGTTTGTCTTTGTTTTTGACCAAAAAGTTTAAAAATTCAAAATTTAAATAGATAAAAGCTTATGGATATAAATATTTTTGTATAGCTGTACAATGTGTTTGTGTTTTAAGCTGTTATTACTAGAAGAGTCCAAAAATTGTTTTTAAATCAAAAAGTTTCTAAAGTAGAAATTTACAGTAAACTAAGGTTAATTTTTTATTATTTCTATAAAAATTATAGAAAAATTTTTCTTATTTTTGAGACAGAGTCTTGCTCTGTCTCCCAGCTGGAGTACAGTGGTGCAATCTTGGCTCACTGTAACCTCTGCCTCCTGAGTTCAAGAAATTCTCCTGCCTCAGCCTCTCAGGTAGCTAGGACTACAGGCATGTGCCACCACACCTGGCAAATTTTTGTATTTTTAGTAGAGATGGGGTTTAACCATGTTTGCCTGGCTGGTCCGTCCACCTCAGCCTCCCATAGTGCTGGGATTACAGGCATGAGCCACCACACCCAGCCAGAAGAAAAATATTTTTTATAAATTTCTTATAGCCTAAGTGAACAGTGTTTATAAAGTCTACAGTAGTGTATAGTAATGTCCTAAGCCTTTACATTCAATCACCACTGACTCATCCAGAGCAACTTCCAGTCCTGTAAGTTCCATTAGTAAGTGCCCCATACAGGTGTACCATTAAAAAAAAATTTTTTTTTTTGAGATAGCGTGTTACTGTCACCCAGTCTGGAGTGCAGTGGTGTGATCATGCACCACTCATTGCAGACTTGATATCCCAGGCTCAGGTGACCCTCCAACCTCAGTTTTTGTATTTTTAGTGGAGACGGGATTTTGCCATGTTGCCCAGGCTGGTCTTGAACTCCTGGGCTCAAGCAATCCACCTGCCTCAGCCTCCTAAAGTGCTAGGATTACAGGCGTGAGCCACTGCACCCAACCAGGTGTACCATTTTTTACAAAATCCTTTATACATATTTTTATAGTATCTTTTCTATGTTTGGATACACAAACACTTGCCATTGTGTTACAATTGCCTACAAGATTCAGAACAACAACATGCTGTAGCCTAGGAGCAATAGGCTATATACATATCCTTAGCTGTGTAGCAGGCTATGCCATCTAGGTGTGTGTAAGGACACTCTATGATGTTCCCACAATGATGAAATCACCTAAGAAGACATTTCTCAGTGTATCTCCATCACTAAGCAAGGTATGACCATACATGTAAAGTTACAGTTCATGTCTGATTATTCCCACTAATGGAAGTGTGCAAAGGTACAGCAAAACAAAACAAAACAAAAAAACAGATAACTGAAAAACAACCATAACTTGTGCTTATGTTTTCATTTTATACTCATGTCCAAATATTTAGATGAGAACTGATACAAATTCACAGGTTTTTTAAAATGCTGCCTGAGGCCTGTAATCCCAGCACTTTGGGAGGCTGAGGTGGGTGGATCATGAGGTCAAGAGATCAAGACCATCTTGGCCAACATGGTGAAACCCCATCTCTACTAAAAATACAGAAATTAGCTGGGCATGGTGGCACACTCCTGTAGTCCCAGCTACTCAGGAGGCTGAGGCAGGAGAATTGCTTAACTCGGAGGTGGAGGTTGCAGTGAGCCGAGATTGTGCCACTGCACTCCAGCCTGGTGCCTGGTGACAGAGCGAGACTCTTTCTCAAAAAGAAAAAAAAAATGCTGCCTGAATAATCAAAACTCTTTTTACTTTTCTTGCCCTGATAGCATCAGTAATGTTAATACAGAGTAGTATCATAGGACAATCTACTTTCCCTCCTCCCATCATAGAGCATAAGGCTCTCTGTATGAGGGCTTAAAACATTAGCAATGACTTAATGGTTTCAACATACAGCTGATTTTGTTGGAGAACAGTGTTACAGTATATTCTTCCTAAGAACTTTATATTTTAGTGAGGAAAATGTCAATGTATAATCAGTGAAAGTGGTCTACATATGATGTAATACTTGTTCATAACTCCTTAAAAACAACAAACGAGGATAAATAGAAATAAAAGAAGTAAAACACACCATGAACCTCTCATTGTTCAGGGTTTTTGAGGCAGTTCAGAGCTAACTACAAGATTATGCTATGAAACTGGAGCCATTTCTATATCATAGTGAGAATTCTAATGAGCCAGAAACAGGCAGAAAACCATTTTCAGAGAACGAAGACTCAAAGATAACAGAACAGCAAACTGAAGACAGAATTAGGCCCAAGGAAAATTTTCACTTTTTTATTAGTAGAGGGCAGTAGAAGACATTGAACTTGGGGACTGAATACTGGTTCTGTAGGTTAGTGCTGACCCTGGGCATAACAATCTTTTTGAATGATAATTTCCTCATTTATAAATTAGGCATAGTAAACTCCACCAGCTTGTTTTACAACCTCAGAGCCATGAAAATCAAAGATAATAATGCCCTTAATATCATTTTGTATACTATAAAGGGCTATTCTTAGAAAATGAAGATTTGATAACTTTTTTTAAAAAAAATAATTAAAGATAAAAGCCAATTTAAAATAAAATTACAATTTTTTTTCTTTTTTTAAACCCAGGATAGGTATTCAATAGTAGCTGCTGTAGCTCCCCCTCCTTTTTTTTTTTTTTTTGAGATAGAGTCTTTCTCTGACACCCTTACTGGAGTGCAGTGGCACGATCTCAGCTCACTGCAACCTCTGCCTTGTGGATACTGTCTTCTCAGCCTCTCAAGTAGTAGCTGGGACTGCAGGTGTGCACCACCATGCCTGGCTAATTTTTGTATTTTTAGTAGAGATGGGGTTTCACCATGTTGGCCAGGTGGGTCTCAAATTCCTGACCTCAAGTGATCCACCCTCCTTGGCCTTCCAAAGTTGGGATTACAGGCATGAGCTGACACGCCCAGCCCACTTCAGTTTTTGATGAGACAGAAATGGGAAAATGTAGACTGGTTTACTAATTTATCTTGTGATACAATGTTATTGTAGTATAATATACTATAGACTACCCATTAAAGAACCAGGAAGGATAATCTGCTAGGCTTAAGAAATAAACATTGAATATAAATGTAACTCTCTACCTCATTTATAACATATTGATATATTTTATTACAAAGAAAGTCATACATAAATGATTTGTCCTATTTATCATAATAGGCCACCAGTCACTAGGAGCCAAACTTCATCCACTTAGGTCCTAGGTAGAATGTTTCAATGCATACATATTTATATAAGTTATTAACCTTGTTTCTAACTTTGGCATTGCACATCTCCTTAGTAAAAAAGGCTTACTAGCCCTTAACAAGTCCAGTCCAACAACCATTTTCCTCTGGTCCTCGAGCCGAGACTCAGAGCCAGTTGTTAAACAGACAAATGATTTCATTATAACATGAAAATAGCAAGCCTTGGGCTATTGCAAAAGGCTTTTCAAATGTTGATCTCTAACTTGGAGAAATAGAGGAAAGCAGAAATATAGACGGCTAATTTGTGCTATAACCTGGTCTCATGTCCTGGTAAACTTCCAGTTGCAAAATTTTAAATTTACAAGTAAGAAAGTAAAACAAAGCTTCCTATCGGTGAAAGTGAAAAACAGTCCAGAAGTCTTCTATTCAAAGACAAATTACATTTTTCTTCCCAATAACTTACAGAAAGAAATGGATAGTTAGAAACCCTAAGGGATTCTTTACATAGGGGTCAGAAAAATAGATAAAAACAAACAAAAAAACAAAGCAAGAAAGAACATTGTTAAAAAATCAAATATTCTTTAAAGACGACTGCCCTCTCTTTAAAGGTGAATGCTATATTAAATGGGTAGATGTATCTCTATAACTCATCATGTTTATATGTAAATTCTCTGGCAGATATAAACCCATCTTTGTCTTCATCTTCTTTATCAAAAATATCTTCCACCAAAACATCATGATGACTTTCATTCACCACCGCACCATGTTTTTCAAACTCCTTCTTTAAATATGCTTTAACCTACAAAATAACAGATCTCATTAATAACTCGGATTCATAAGATACCCACACTGAGCCAATCAGTATCACAGACATGGACTAGTAGTTCATTTAACTAAATATACTAACTTCTAAACAACCATTTTATGACATAGTTAAAAAATGACATAATGATAGTTAAAAAATTACAAGAAATTTTTTCCCTTAAAAAAAACTTTTGCTAAACTGCTACAGGAGAAACACAAATATTGCTCAAAGGCAGGGCTGAGTGTGGTGGCTCAGGCCTGTTAACCCAGCTTTTTGGAAGTCAAGGTGGGAAGATCACTTGAGGTCAGGAGTTGGAGACCAGCCTGGCCAACATAATGAAAACCCATCTTCACTAAAATAGGGAAAAAAGTTAGCCAGGCGTGGCGGCATGTTCCTGCAATCCCAGCTACTCAGGAGGCTGAGGCAGTTGAACAGCTTGAACTGGGGAGGCAGACATTGGGTTGAATCGAGATTGTGCTGCTGAACTCCAGCCTGGGCAACAGAGTGAGTCTCTCTCTCTCTCTCTCTCTCTCTCTCTCTCTCTCTCTCTCTCTCTCTCCATATATATATATGGAGACACACACACATATACACACATATATATACACACACATACATACATACACACACATATATATTACATATATACTGCTTTCTCTTGCTCTCTGTATATATATATATATATATACATTGCTCAAAGGCAAAGATAAAGCTTATGTCATGTACACAATTCTTATATAAGGCTTAAATTATTGGAAAATACCCAATGACAGCATACTACTTGTTCTTAATCTAAATCTAAATTACAGACGTTTCTCTTCTCTCTGTTTTTTTTTTAAAGACAGAATCTTGCTCTGTCACCCAGGCTGGAGTGCAGTGGCACTATCTCGGCCCATTGCAACCTCTGCCTCCCAGGCTCAAGCAGTCCTTCCACCTCAGCCTCCCAGGTGTCTGGGACTAGAGGCATGCACCACCACTTCTGAATAACTTTTATATTTTTTGTAGAGATGGGGTTTCGCAATGTTGCCCAGGCTGGTCTTGAACTCCTGGGCTCAAGCAATCCACCCCCCTTAGCCTCCCAAAGTGCTGAAATTAGAAGCGTGAGCTACTGCACCCCATGGACACTTCTCTCTCTCTCTTTTTTTGAGATGGAGTTTCGCTCTTGTTACCCAGGCTGGAGTGCAATGGCGCGATCTCAGCTCACCGCAACCTCCGCCTCCTGGGTTCAGGCAATTCTCCTGCCTCAGCCTCCTGAGTAGTTGGAATTACAGGCACGCACCACCATGACCAGCTAATTTTTTGTATTTTTAGTAGAGACAGGGTTTCACCATGTTGACCAGGATGGTCTCGATCTCTTGACCTCATGATCCACCTGCCTCGGCCTCCCAAAGTGCTGGGATTACAGGCGTGAGCCACCGCGCTCGGCCGCGGACACTTCTTTTAAAACTAGATTAAATAGTGGCATCTTTGATTTGAATAAATATCTGCAAGTAATGGGCCTTCTGGGTTTGGTTATGATCATGCCGAACTGACTGAGTCCAGTCACAACCTTCCAGTCTCAGAAAGTCAGGCCTGATAAGTACCTAGACTACAATTTTCCATTTTCATTTTTTCTTCTTCTTCCTCTTCTTCTTCTTCTTCTTTTTTTTGAGATAGAGTCTAGCTGTGTCACCCAGGCTGGAGTTCAGTGGTGGGATCTCAGCTAATGGCAACCTCTGCCTCCCAGGTTAAAGCGATTCACCTGCCTCAGCCTTCTTAGTAGCTAAGACTACAGGCCCCTGCCACCAAGCCTGGCTAATTTTCTTACTTTTAGTAGAGATGGGGCTTTCACCATGTTGGCCAGGCACCATGGTGGCCAGGTCTCGAACTCCTCCTAACCTCAGAAGATCTGCCTGCCTTGGCCTCCCAAAGTACTGATTACAGACGTGAGCCACCATGCCTGGCCTCCACTTTCATTTCATTCATATGTTTAAAAACATAAGTATTGTTTTCAATTTCCCACAAGATTCACCACAATGCAAATCAGCCTATATTTTCATTTTTAATCATATCATCTCTCTTCCTTCTGTTTAGACCAGCAATTTCAAATCCTCTCTCCCCCAGCTTCCAAGAAGTATACATATAGTATATACTATTTTTAAGTCAAAGTGATTTCATGTAGTTGCTGAAAAAAGGGATGGGGGAGAGATGATGAAACTATGGACTAATGTAGAATGTATTTAGGATATATTGTTTGAATAAAGCAAAATGACAAAATAGTATGTATCGTTTGCTACCTTTTGTGCAAGAAAGGGGAAAACAAATGTATGTATTTGGATTTGTAGAAAGAAACACTGCTTAGAAACTAATAAAACTGGCCGGGCGCAGTGGCTCACACCTGTAATCCCAGCATTTTGGGAGGCTGAGACAGGCAGATCATGAGGTCAGGAGATCAAGACCATCCTGGCCAACATGGTGAAACCCCATCTCTATTAAAAATACAAAAATTAGCTGGGTGTGGTGGCACGTGCCTGTAGTCCCAGCTACTTGGGAGGCTGAGGCAGGAGAATTGCTTGAACCCGGGAGATAGAGGCTGCAGTGGGCAGAGGCTACAGAGGGCCAATATTGTTCCACTGTACTCCAGCCTGAGCAATAGAGTGAGTCTCTGTCTAAAAAAAAAAAAAAAAAGGAAAAAGAAAAGAAATTAATAAAACTCAGCTGAGTGCAGTGGTGCATGCCTGTAAATAGCAAGATCTCATCTCTAAAAAAAAAAAAATAAGCAAAAACAAAGAAATAAAAAAACAGAAAGAAAAAAAGTAATTAATAAAACTGGATGTGGGGCTAACAGAAGAGGATATAAGTAGAAGAAAGACTTTTAAAATTATGTAAGTAATAGAGACAAGGTCTTGCTATGTTGGTGAGTTTGGTCTTGAACTCTTGGCCTCAAGCAATCCTCCCACCTAAGCCTTCCAAATGCTAGGATTACAAGTGTTAGCCACCTTGCCCAGCCAAGACTTTTAAATAAATACCTTTTTGCCAGGTGTGGTGGTTCACGCCTGTAATCCCAGCACTTTGGGAGGCCAAGGCAGGCAGATCATAAGACCAGAAGTTCGAGACCAGCCTGGCCAGCATGGTGAAACCCCATCTCTATTAAAAATACAAAAATTAGCCGGCATCATGGTCCAGCTACTTGGGAGGCTGAGGCAGAATAACTGCTTGAACCCAGGAGGCGGAGGTTGCAGTGAGCCGAGATTGTGCCACGGCACTCCAGCCTGGGCAATAGAACAAGACTCTGTCTCAGGAAAAATAAATAAATAAAAACAAATAATAAAATACCATTTTGTTTTAAACCATGTGACTGTGTTGTATATTCAAAATTATTTAATAAAAGGGAATTCAAATTTATCTTGGATGGAAGAAAACTGGTAACAATATGTTATAAATTTAGTGGCTGTGAATCATGACCCCCTGGTTCATAACAATTTGGCTTATCCAAGACTTAATCATTTCCTGGACAGTAGAATGAAATTGATCAAAGTATAGAAAGGGACTCGATATCTGACTGGCCAGGACAGAATGGAGTGTGAGTAGATAAAAAACATAGGGATAAATATCTACCTCCACTTCTTTCCTCACAGCATCCAGACTAAGACAGATATGTGTAGCAATGGCTGTGAAAGCCTGATTATAAGGAGAAACCTCTTCTTCCTTTTTCTTTACCCAAAGGCTCAGACTTTGATGGAGCTGGAGGTCCTCTGCTGTTGAAAACCCAGGCTGGAGTCTCCTTTCTATGGGGCAACCTGAACAAAACTGAGCATGTAAGTTGCTTGCTGTTAATTGCTAGGAAAGTACTACAAGATGTATTTAATGGTCAGTTTACAGTTTTAACAGAAACTGTACACATGAGATATTTCTCAGGACAGCTAGCTTCTTATACAGTAACTCCAGATAGAAACTGTCTTGGCAAAATGGTTCTTTCAAAGACTCAAGGGTAAGGATAAGATACAGTGGACCCTAAGCATTGGGAAGAAGAAAGCATAAGATTGAATGGTGCTTTTTAAGTCTTAATATATTTCTCTCCAAAACAATAATTTACTATGAAAAAATCCAGTTTCAAAGCATCACTATTTTAAGAAAACTGTTACCTAAATACACTTTTAAATATGTATATTTATTTTAAAAGTGAGTTACAAAACAGAAACAAACAAACATACCAAAAAAAACCCCCAAACAATAACACAAAAAAAAAAGTAGAAAGGGGAGTAGGAAGAAGGAAAGGTCACCTCATCTTTAGAGAGTTTCCAGTCGTCGTTAAGATCCATTTCTTGGAATGATTCATGGGATCTTGGTCCATTTCGAATCTCCAGGAGATCAATATTAAATATCAGTGTACTTTCTGGGGGAATTTTACCTGACATGAGGAGAGAAGGCAGATAGTTTTAAAAGATCCAAAGTTTTAATAGAAAATTATGGTAATGGACAAAGCTTTTTTTTTTTTTTTTTTGAGACAGTTTCGCTCTTGTTACCCAGGCTGGAGAGCAATGGCGCGATCTCGGCTCACTGCCACCTCCGCCTCCTGGGTTCAGGCAATTCTCCTGCCTCAGCCTCCTGAGTAGCTGGGATTACAGGCACACGTCACTATGACCAGCTCATTTTTTGTATTTTTAGTAGAGACGGGGTTTCACCATGTTGACCAGGATGATCTCGATCTCTTGACCTCGTGATCCACCCGCCTCGGCCTCCCAAAGTGCTGGGATTACAGGCTTGAGCCACTGGACAAAGCATTTTTTAACTGCATTAAAGAGCCTTCCTAAGATTGTCATATATGGTGAAAATTATGTATATTATATTTTACTCAAATAAAATGGAGTAAAAGAAGAAATAATATAAACTAGCAGACCAAAAGCATTCTATCTTTGGCTTAGCAGTTAAAGTATAAATATATGTATACACACATGTAACACATATACATACAGAGAGATGTATCTAATGGCTTGGGTATTAAATTTCTAATATAATTAATATATTACATATTATATGTCAAGAAGGACTTAAAGGGTTTTATAAAATTTAGAGTTAAGTATATTACAAGTAGTAAAGTAACTTTTCAGTCAGAAAGTCCTGACCTAGAAATTCATGTAGTATTGCCGTTTCTACCACTGGAAGGCATTTCTACCTACATAATTGAGTGAGCTCTGGTGTCACACTGTCCGGGACTAAAGTTTACATCTGCCCATCTCTAAGCCTCAATTTCCTCATCTATAAAATGCAGACAATAAATTTCCTACCTCAAGAGTCCTTGGAAGGATAAAGGGAGAAAAATCCATGCAAAACACTTAGCATTAAGCTTGACAAATAGTAAACTCTCAAATCATGTTGTTGAGGTATAATTTTCTTACAGGCTTCAAAAATAATGCAGGAAGGTTTAACAATTTCAAAAAGTTAGGCAACACTACCTCTGACATAGAACATTATATATATGTTGAAGACATTTCAAGGGAGGGGAGAAATTAAAATGAATTTCTGAGAAGGGAGATTAAAAATCTTTAAAAGTGAAAAGGGCTTTGTTAAAGTCCCAGGAACCTAAAACAAACAAGCAAAAACACCCATCTGTGGACTATGAACAATTTTTTTTATACTTGCTTTTTTAATAACTATATTTAACATAGAGGTCTGGGTAAACATGTTAAGTATTTCTTAGTCATCCTCCCCCCACCCCACATATTTCCATGAAAGAACATTCATAAGTTTCAAAGAGAAGACTTACAAGGTGTGTTGAAGCTTACCATTCCAGATCTAGACAGAGATGCGACATGCACTAGGTTGTTGGCAAAACTTGTATCTTTCCAAAAGAGGCATGCAAGTATGTACTAAAAGACTACAAAATTAGTGTTAAATACAGATTAGAAGAATTAGTTTCATGGCATTCAGTTTGAGGAGATGACTCAAATTTAGATCTCTACTTATTGTGAAGTAAATTTGAGTTAAATATGGTATGAAAAATAGTAATGGACCAATACAATGTACAGTAGTCCCCCCTTGGGTATCTTCCAGGAACCCCATTGGATGCCTGAAACCATGTATAGTACCAAATCCTATATGAACAATGCTTTTCCCTATACATGCATATCTGTGATAAAGTTTAGTTTATAAAATAGGCACAGTAAGAAATTAAAAATAATAGAATAATTACAACAACATATCATAATAAAAGTTATATGAATATGATCTATCTCTCATTCTCAAAATACCTTAATACTTTCAGACTGCAGTTGACCACAGGTAACTAAAACTGTAGAAAGTGAAACCACAGGTAAAGGGGGACTACTGTATATAAATATTAAAGGTGAGACAATAAAGATACAATGAAAAAATTCTCAGCGTCAGAAAAAATTCTCTAGATACTTGATTTTCTTCTCTACAGGGGTTTTTTTTTTTTTTGAGATGGAGTTTCACTCTGCCACCAGGCTAGAATGCAGCAGCACGATCTCAGCTCACTGCAACCTCCACCTCCCGGGTTCAAGCAATTCTCCTATCTCAGCCTCCCGAGTAGCTGGGACTACAGGTGTGTGCCACCATGCCCAACTAATTTTTTTTGTATTTTTACTAGAGACAGGGTTTTACCATATTGGTCAGGATGGTCTCGATCTCCTGACCTCGTGATCCACCCGCCTATCTCCCAAAGTGCTGGGATTACAGGTGTGAGCCACTGCACCTGGCCTCTAATGAGGATTATAACTAAAATAAGAATTGAATTTGGTTAGTAAATCTTATCCTATGAACAAGATTTGTATAGCTAGTTCCATTTTGGAATATATAATGCTTCCCACACAGTATCTATTTTCCTTCTCAGGAAATGGGCTGGGAATCTTGACCCCTCACTTTGTCAATGGTTAACCTTAGACGTCAGGATGCTATGAAGTCTATATTTACACTATATCAGAGTGGTTGTCTGTCTGGTTCTGATGACTATTTAAGCATTTTTTTCTTCATTACATAAGTAATACATGCTTATTGTAGAGTTGATGCCCAGATGATAAAACCAAAAATAAATATGATTCCGAGTATCACAGTCTATTGTTAACATTCTTATTTATTTCCTTGTGATTCACTTTCTATGTATATGTACTTTTTCCTATATTTACTATCATATTATAGATATAATAGATTTATTTTCTATTTTTATATATTAATTATATCTCACACTTTTGGATATAATTTTAAGAATCTTTGGAAATGCCATTTTAAACAACTGGGCTATATTTTATTTAGCTAAATTCTTATCATTATACTACTTAGGACAGTTCCAATTTTTTGCTATTAGAAACAATGCGGTGATGGACATCCCTATTCACAAATCTTTTTCCAGATATCTAATTATTCCCTTAGGTTAGATTCTAACAAGGGAATTATAGGATAAATGCATATAGACATCTTCAAGTCTCTTTTTTTTTTTTTTCTTTTTTGAGATGGAGTCTCTCTCTGTCATCCCGGCTGGAGTACAGTGGCATGATCTTGGCTCATTGCACTCTCTGCCTCCCAGGTTCAAGCAATTCTTCTGCCTCAGCCTCCTGAGTAACTGGGATTATAGGCATATACCACCACATTCAGCTAATTTTGTATTTTTAGTAGAGACAAGGTTTCACCATGTTGGCCAGACTGGTCTCGAATTCCTGACCTCAGGTGATCCACCCTCTTTGGCCTCCCAAAGTGCTGGAATTACAGGCATGAGCCACCACACCTGGCCTCCTGATACATATCACCAAGCAGCTCTTTGGAAAGTTGCAGGGGTTCTCACTTGAACACTAGTGTATATCTCTGCCCTGAAAAACTAGTACAAAAGCTGTCTGGACAAGGTAGTCAGCTTGCTTCTCTGCTTTGTGACACAGGAAAAATTAAATTCATTTCATGTTCACTCTATGATTTTTAAAAATACATTATTAAAAGCTTTATAAATAAATTTTAAAATAGGAATGAAAAGAACTCCCAATAAGAGTTTGCTGTGGGAGACTTAATATTTGTGAAGTTCAACTCATACAATCCACATTTGAAATGCATTCAATGCTTTAATAATCTATATTTCAAATGTTCAACTTGTCCAAACTCTTATGTTAAGGGAACAAACTTTCTGCATTGTTAAAATAAATTGGTGAATTTCAGTTTGGGAGGATGAGAACGTTCTGAAGATGGATAGTGGTGATGGTTCCACAATAATTGTACTGAATTGTGTACTTAAAAATGATTCAAATGAAAACTTTTCTGTATATTTTATCACAATTAAAACAACCCACCATATTGGCGTACAGTATTAACATATCTACATATTCTTTTTTCATTGTTAGCATGGTTGCCCGTTTAGATATTATGACCTTAAACTGGCCATTTCTTTCTTTTTCTCTCTTTTTTTTTTTTTTTTTTTTTTGAGATGGAGTCTTGCTCTGTCGCCCAGGCTGGAGTGCAATGGCTCAATCTCGGCTCACCACAGCCTCCACTTCCCAGGTGATTCTCCTGCCTCAGCCTTTTGAGTAGCTGGGATTACAGGCATGCGCTACCATGCCTGGCCAATTTTGTATTTTTAGTAGAGACGGAATTTCTCCATGTTGGTCAGGCTGGTCTTGAATTCCCGATCTCAGAAGATCCACCCGTCTTGGTCTCTCAAAATGCTGGGATTACAGGCCTGAGCCACCACACCTGGCCATTAAACTCGCCATTTCAATTGATAATCAAGACAGTTGCTAAAGGAATACATGCCCCCTGTTAACTTCTAGGAAAAAAAAAAAGTTGTAGTGACTCTAACTTCTGTCTCCTACTCCAGAGAACAACTCTAGTGCTATCATAAGAATAGAAGTGCTATTACCTTTTCCTTCTTTTCCATATCCCAGGGCTGGAGGAATGATGAGCTTTCTCTTCTCTCCTACACACATTCCTTTTAAGCCCTGGTCCCAACCTTTGAGAGCCTCCAGGATGCCCAGGGTAAACCAAATGGGCTGACCATTGTTATGTTTATGACTATGATAAAAAGAAAACACATTGTAACTCTTTATTAACTCTAAGAAAATTTCTTTAGTGCATTTTTCCACCAATAAGTGGTTAAGTTTATTAGTTTAAAAATTAATAATAACAGCTATTCTTTATTTGCACAAATACACCTCCAAGTCAAGTTTATAGGAATTCAATTCGCTGCCCATCTTTCTTGATGCAAATTTCACATACTTGACAGGACTTGAGGAAGACAGAGGAAATAATAAAAACACTTAACAATCATTTGAACATTGGTTGTATGCCAGGAATCATTCTAATTATTTTTTCTCTTAACCCTTACAATAAGCCTATAATGTCAGTACCATTATTACCCCATTGTATAGATGAGGAAACACAGGTTAAGTGTTCTAGTCTTTAAACCTAACTCCAAAGTTCAAGGTCTTAACCGCAAAGTTATGTTTTTCCAGTAAGTCCACGAGGTTGTAGAATAGGCAGAAAATAATGGGAAATGGCTGAGTTTGGGAAGGAGATTGAAAGGCTAAGGAGAATTTACTGCCAACACACGTGGGTCCATATACACACAGATATGGAGAGTCAGAAGCACAGTGTCTTATATCCTGCCTACAGACTTTCCTTAGCTATGGCCTGCTGATGGCTCTAGCAGGTAGAAAACGCTGCTTTCATCTCTAAATCAGACCCCAGCCCAGTTCCCTCCTCAGGGGTCTACAATGGGGCTATATAGGAAAGTCTGGAAGAGTGGCCCCTCAAGGACTGGTGTGTTAGTCCATTTTTGTATTGCTGTGAAGAATACTAAAGACTGGGTAACTTATAAAGAAAACGAGGTTTAATGGACTTGCAGTTCCACATGGCTGGGGAGGCCTCACAATCATGGCGGAAGGCAAAGGAGGAGCAAAGGCACATTTTACACAGTAGCAGACAAGAATGAATGTGCAGAGGAACTGCCTTTTATAAAACCATCAGATCTTGTGAGACTTACTATCACAAGAACAGCCTGGGGAAAACCTGCCCCCATGATTCAATTACCTCCTACCAGGCCCCTCCCACAATAGGTGGGGATTATGGGAACTACAATTTAAGATGAGATTTGGGTGGGGACAGAGCTGAACCATATCAACTGGGGAGGAGGGAAATAGAATGTCCTGGCTCATGAGCTGAAGAGAGCCTAACCCAGGAAAACCAACCTGCCTAAGTACTTACTTACAGGGAGGCTTGAGGGCTGAGTAATGCCTGATCCCTACTTAGCTCCCTTTCAGTGCAATAAGAAAAATATTCTATTCAAGGATATCTTGTAGGTGAGAAAAAGAAGTCAGTGTACTAGGCTTCTTGAGTACCATGGTTACTAAATCTAGATAATGCCATCTTTTCCTGTAATTTTGCCCAATGATCAAAGTAACAAAATGACAACTGTAGAAAATTTGGGAAGGCTAGAAAAGAAAAAAAAAAAAAGGAGGAAACATTCTACTACTCATCACTGACTACAATTTTAGCACATTTCTTGTTAGGGCTAAACAATGTACCCCATAGACTATGGTTCTAGAGATGGCAAATGTGCTTACAGACTGATCATTTGATGGTATTTCTTCATGATGCTTACAATTAGAAGCTTCTGACCATTTACATGGATGCTGCATGATAACAGTCCCCTCATCAGATATTAGAACTTAGCAGCAAACTGCTAAATAATATTCCATGGCTACCATCAAAGTCAGAACAGGTTTTTGGTTCAGAGATCTGAAAGAAACCAGGCTCAGTCTAAAAGAGATCAGACTAAAAATAAGACTGTAACTGAGTATCAAAATGCAAATCACATCATTTAATGTCCCCTGTGGCATTCACCTAGTTGACAAGAAGAAAGAGCTGTTGAGAATTCTAAGGCAAGCCATCTTTCTGGAACTTTTTCCCAGGGCTAACAGTTCAGAGAAGAGTGCCATTCATTCTCCCAACCCTCAAGACAGACCAGGTCTGAATGACCAATAAAGCAGTTATTAGAAAACTAGGTCTAGGATGGGCTATGAAGCTTCACTGTTTTAATTCATGTCATTCCCTCTACCTGCAAAATCCTTCCTCCCCTATTTTCCCCCTGGAAACCTCCACCCATCTTCCAAGGCGCATTTCAATTATGGTCTCTGGGGAAGTCTTTCCCTTTCCCCATCCCATGGAGCATAACTACTTCCAGGCCCAGTTATGCTTTGCTAGCACTTTGAATATTCTGTAGTTTATATCACTGCAGTATTTACTCGTCTTCCTCCCACCTGCAGATGGTGTACTGTTAGAGGAAAAGAACCTGCTCCTAGCCATCTTTGCATCTCCAGGGCCTGCCTTGTGACCATCCAATAAGAGTTTGATAGATAGACAGATGAATGGATAGACGAGTATGATTAGAAGCCAAAATTTCTGAATCTCCCTAGCACCAAGCATATGGCTTAACATAAAGGAAATGCTCACTAAATACTTTCATAATGGAATGAATGGAACCAATGCCTAATTGGAAATCATTAGGCTTGTAAACCATTTCCATGTTGCGATTTCTTTGTTTATAGAACAGAAACGATAGTGTAACCATCTGAAAATCCTTCACCTAAACTTCCACAACCACACCCACCTCATCAATGAAGCAAATGACTGAAATCATGATCCTGTGCCTTGACCAAAATATCATCTGTCAGAACAAAAGTTAAGTAGTAGGTCAGTGAAACAGCATCAGTATATCCTTCAACAGGCAAATAAGTGATTGCGTAGTTTGCTTCTGAAGTCGCTATGAAAAGTTTTAGGTGAACATCACCCTCACCACGTTAAAAAGGGAATCAAATCATTTTCCCTAAGAAATGGAGTTTGAGGTATGAGAATTCTTTTGAGCTTTTTCTACTTATTGCCCAATTATACACTCAGATATATTTCTGCAATGTTTCAAAGATTCCAATTCTAATTTTTATAATAAAAAAATTAACAGCCTTTTCCAGACCACATGTTTCCAATGACACCTTCCGAGGCCTCGCTCGCTATATAAAACTGGCTTTAAATAATTTCCTTCCCCAAAGAAAGAAATAAGATATTTCGGTTTGTAAAAGAGGTAAAACCAGGTACAAGCCACCTTTCCTGATGGAGAGCTGGCATAAGTGGGTGAATTCTTGATTACTATTTCACCTACGGGGCATTATTACTTACGTAGAGTGAAACAAGGAGCCGTCCTTTTCTAAGTAGCCTTCATAGTGCACCAACATCAAATCCCCTCCTTTGGTCTTGCGATGGCAGATGAATGGTTTCTGGAGAACTTCAATTTTCACTTCTGGTTCAGGGATCAGAGCCCCAATCAAAGAAGTGACGAACAGCGTCAAGACCGTGTTCCACAAGATAAGCCTCATGTTGCTGAAGCAGGAAAGAAGTCCCTACAACAGCAGCGAAAGGGCCCTCAACTTCATAGATTTAAGAGCTTAGTTCAAGGCTTAGGGATACCGGCCTCAGGCAAGTTCAGGACTTCCCCTTGTTAGAAGACGTGGCACATTTACTACTAACTACTTTCTCACGGGGCCCGAACCCACCTTTAAAGAGTTAAGCTCAAATGGAACCGACAGGCTCTTATAACGCTGCAGCCTGGGAAGCACGGCCTCCCATTGGCTTTGCATGCTGCCCTTCAGGCAGCCCTCAAGCCAATGACGCTGCAACGATGGAATTTACAGCCCGGTCGAGCCGGGCAGCTAGCCAAGAGGCGGATCATCCGGTGTGGGTCCTAGAGCCTGGAGGATTTCAGAATTTAACAAGCAAGGATTTTGGGCGAGGGGCGGGGCGCAGAGCAAACCGGAAACTCCTCCAGCTGATTTATTTCTGTGAAGAGCCCCGCTGAGAGAGGTAGGAAGAGTCCCGGGGCGCAGTGAAACTGTCGGAGTTCCAGCAAAGACTCGTTTACTCTCGCCGTTGGAGAGCGGCCCTCCAATATGCTACAATCCTAGGCTTTTGCTATTGCGTATAAACTGTAAAGACTTACATAGTGTTTTAGGGTTCACAAAGCGCGTTCCTGTTGCATGAACCTCACTACAATCAGTAAGGCAGGTTCTTTTTTTTCCATTTAAAAGAGAAGTAAATTTAGACCAGGAGAGATTAACTGTCCTGCTTAAGGTTGTTTGGCCCCGAAGCAGATGAGCTCAGCCTTAAAGTAGGTCTGATTCATTCCACGGCCCCACGTACTGTTATGGCAGCTAATAATTTATCCTTTAAGTTACCTTAGAGGGTAAATAATGAGTTACGACTTGCAGACTTCCGGATTAAAGAAGAAATGGTAATCATGGTTACGAATTACACAGCCTCATTTTAGTTTACATATTCTAATTTTACATTTTTCGCCTAAGTTCTAAAGCAATACAATTCATTGTAGTCAATTTGGAAGAAACTGGAAAGCACTAAAGTAGGATATCCAGATAAAACTGGGGAGTCGAATTAAGTTTGAATTTCAGATACATAACGGATAAATTGTTTTGCATTTTTATTTATTAAATCAGGCAACCTTACACTAAAAAAAAAGAAAGATCGCCGATACCACCACCTGCTGCCAATAATCCTCTTAATATTTTGGTGCATGCTTCTCTGACATATACCTAAAGCGATTTTAAACGTATTGTACTGTGTGTGTGTGCGTATGTGTGTGTGTGTGTGTGTGTGGTACTCATTTCTCACCTTCTCTTTCCACCTAATCTGTAGTTAACATTTTTCCTGGGCAGTGCATTTTGGCACTCTGTGTATATAGGGATCCCCCTGGAGTTCTTGCTTAAAATGCAGATTTTGATTCTGGAGGTCTGGAGTGGGTGCAAGATTCTGCATTTTTAACAAGCTCTTAGATGATGTCAGTGCTCCGGGTAAGTGGACCAACACTTCCAGCACCGAGATCTTAAGAGTCTGGACAACACCTGTTTACACTGGCCTCACAGTACCCCACCCTGAAATTCCAATTATCTCTTTACGCCCTATTATTGGCTACCTGAAATGCATGAGATCAATTAGGCAGCTCTAGAACTGGAATAGGGACTAGAGCCCAAGGAGTATCGTGAGAGCTTACGTAGACAGCCCCCCAAAGGTCGGGCACTATTTACAGTCAGCACTGTGCCCTACAGGTGTCTCAGGGGCCTCCCTCCTCTCATCGCCTACTCCCAAGTCCGCGACCCGGGACTCAATTTCCCTGCGGGCCTTTCCGGCAAAGTCCGCCCCGCCGCCACCGCGAAATCCCGGAGTGGATTTTGGGAAGGGGCGCGCGAGCGGCGCACCGGGCATGCGCGAGCGCGTCCTGGGCCCGGCGGGTGGAGGGTTTAGGTAGCGCGGGGTGGCGCCTCCTGCCTCGTTCGCCGCACTTCGGAGGTTTCCTGCATTCCTCCGGCCCACGTAAGGTCCGGGTCCTGGCCTCATTGTGAACAGCGTGTCCGGCTTCGCCTCGTCGGCTCACCGGCTGGCTGGGCTTCTCGCGTCTAGGCTGCCGCAGTGACCCCGCCCCCGGGCCGAGGATGTGAGGCGGGCCGGGCGTCCCCGCACCGGGCCCGGGCGCCGGGAGTGGGCGTCTGGGCCCCGCCGGGCAATGGCCCTGCTGCCGGTGCTCCTCGCCTCCTGGGTCCTGGGGCAGTGAGGGGGCCGGCGGGCGTGGGCCGAGTGGCCGCGGGCGCCATGGAGGGGGTGCTGTACAAATGGACCAACTATCTGAGCGGTGAGTGGCCGCGCCGGGCCGGGGGCGCGCGGGGGGCCTGTCCTTTGTCTGCGCCGCCGGAGGGCGGTGTCTGGATCAGTCCTGGGGCTTGGGGTCGTGGCCCTTGAGGCCAGCGTGGAGCGGGAGTATTTCCCAAAACAGCTCTCTCACCGGACCGTGTCACCGTGCTGGACGACACGGCCCTCTCTTGGGGCTGGGTGAGAGCAGTGGCTGCCCTTTCACTTCAAAGAAGGCTACAAAGACTGAGATTTGGGGTGACTTGAAAGGCACGGTGCTCTCGATGTCAGCTGGAGGAAGGCGCAGACGCCCCGCTGTGGGGTCCTCTGGGAGTCTCTTGCATTCTGGCGAAGGAACCGGACTCTCTTGACTCGTAGCTAGGTTAGAAGATTTCAAAAGAATCCCTGCAGTAACCTGGAATTCCACAGGGGAAAGATCCTTTATCAAAGTCCCCAGTGCAAACACTTCCCCTTTGTCACCTTCAGAGTCATCTGCCTGCACACCAGATGTGCAGCTCCACAGTTTCAAAGCTCCAGAGTCTGCACAAGGTTTTTTATTTTCTCGCTGAGCATTTCCTTTTGTTTTACAGACTCAGAAATTATCGTCAAATGAATGCAAATGTTTGCAGCTGTCTTCTTGCCCTGCCTTACAGATTGGCTTTAAAATAGTACCCGCTCCTTTTCTAGTTTGTGGAGGTAAAAGCTTCATATCTTGAGAAGGTTATAACTATTCTACACCTGTGAAGATTTTTCAGAACGATCTTTTTTTTATGTGTGCAACTGGTATTTAATAAAAGCCTATTTGCTGGAAACTGCTAGCCACTTTTTTGGAAGTAAACTTTTTATAGAAAATTGATTAGGTTTTTAAAGTTTTTAAGGCAGTGTGTTTGAAAGCAGAAATGTTCCCAGTATCTCTTAGAGAGGGTGAGAGATGTTTTCCTTTCTTCTGTGGGATAGGTTTAAAAGGTTGTAGTATGGTAATACACCGAGTGTTTTAAGAATGGCTGTGTGTGGGAGGACCAGTCGGCATAGTAACTTCGAGGAGGTCACACAGCACAGCCAAAGGTGCCCTTTTAGGCGTAACCAGAATCTTTTCCCTTTGCCTAGTATAATTAGCAGTGAGTTCTCCTGTTTATTTTTTCTGTAATCATTGGTGGAGACTAAATGAGAAGAGGTTTTTCTTTTTGCTTCAAGGACCTTCAGTGATGTCCGTAATTAGATTAGATGTGGATAACTCAAAGCTAGCCTTTGGTTTGGTGAATGCCAGAGGCTGATCAACACTGCTAACCTAAGGGGAGGAGGCTCCACTGGGCAGTTTTCCTTTTGAGGTCTCTCTCAGCTGCATATACTTGAATAAAATTTAGTTGCTGGTCTTTCACTCCTTTCCATTACACACTTTTACTTTTTACCTTTTTTTCTTTCATCTACAGCACTCTTCTTTTTTTCCCATTCTTCCCCACCCGTGACTTTTTTTGTTGTTTTGTGAGGATTTTTTTTTCCTTCTTTTCCTTCTCCTTTCTGTATGGGAAGTTTACTCTCTTGATACAGCAACTATTTCTTGGTAGTGAAATGCTTTTGTTGTTGTTTCTGACTGTCCTTGTGTATCCTTCAATAAAGCAGAACTCTCTGGTAGGATCTTTTCGAATCTTGATCATGTGATTCCTATCTGTTCTGTTGGAAAAGAGTCTACTTTTTTCTTCCCAAAGTAAGAGAAGTTACATGCTGTGAGTGGTGCTAGGGTGGAAACCGTAAAGAAGAAGGCACTGGAGCCATTGCCAGAGAAAGCTATCTTTACATGATGCTGCTTGTTCCTTTAACCTACGTGCCCTGTCCTTGTGGGCATGCTGTTCATAGAAGCCCATCACACCAGTGGGTACTTTTCCAGATAAACTTAGAATTATGGTTCGGCACGTTCTCTTCCTTTAGGAGATAAATTTACTTGGGAAAGAAATGGTAATAGCCAAGGAGGATTGCATGCATTCTTGTTTCCTCCACCCTTCACTTTTCTCCTTGGTCTTCCCAAATAAGCATGTTGTGTTAGTAACAAGTTTCTTTTTCTTTCTCTGAAGCTTATTTTAAAAGTAACGTTTTTTTTCTTGTAGGTTTGCACATAGTGACTTTAAAATACATATAATCAACCTTTTGTTCATTCTGAATTTTTCTCCAAAAGTAGTACATAACCCATGCCTCTGTTTGTGTGGTTTGTGTATTTGTCATGCTGATAGCTTGATATGGGATGCCTTGTGTAAACTTTGAGTGAAGTTAGGAAATCAGTTTATCACTTGATCTTTTGAATCCTTAGGAGATGTTGTTAATTTCATTCAGCATCTACTATGTGTTGGGCACTGTGCTAGGCACAGGGGAAGCAGTGTTGAACAAAGCCCATGCCTTTCTTGAGCCTACAGTTTGGTGGGGAAGAAAGATGTTTATTGGATAAGTCGTTAGAAGCATGTTCCATTGTGTGTGATTGGGAAGGAGGGAGGGCAAAGAGGCTAGTAAGGGGTTGTTAGGGAAGGCTTCTTTGAAGAAAAAATTTAAGCAGAGTCTGAAGGATAAATCAAGCTGTTAACAGGTAGAAAGGCCAAGGCAGAGGTATAGTTAGAGGGAGTAAAGAACTTTTCAGGCACAGGGATTGCCAGTGTGAAGGCCCCAAAGCAGAAGAGAAACCTGTGAGTTTGAGGAAAGCAAAGAGGACCCATCTGGCTGAGAGCTGATAAGAGTGAGGCTCTAACAAAGATGCAGGGGTGTGCGTGAGGTCAGATATTTCAGGGCCTCATAGGCTGATTTAAATACTGTGATGTGATTGTGTGTGTACATGCGTGCATGCATCTATGAGAGAAAGAGAAAGGATGAAATTGTTTAAAAGCTTACTGTGGTTTTAGTGTAGCATAGAAGGTTTTCTGGTTACATCTTTGTATCTATCCCAGTACTTCATTAAATACTACATATAATTATTTTGTGCGCTTCTTTTGCCTCTTGAATTTCAAATTGATAGGTATATTAATCACTGAAAGTTAGAAACATCGCCAAGCCCTGATAATAGCATCTAAGGTCTACATTTCTAGAATGCAGAAAGAGAAAGAAGTCTCTTCCTTTAGATGCTAAGCATATTCAGGTACTGTATCCTCCTTCAATGAAAAATACAAAAAAAAAGTTTGTCTATTTTCTTTTACAATCTGGTGCCATCTTGTCTTTTGGACATTCTGGGATTTAGTGTCAGTACCTTTCTTCAGATGTTAGAAGATTAAACTTGGGATGAAAAGAGAGTGAATTAAACATGTTACAGACTCCTACATTGTGTGAGACATACTGCTAAGCACTGTATTTGTTATTTGTCTTTCAAGACCTAAAAGTTAGTCAAGGAGTATTTTATATGGAGGGCTACACATTAATGCCCCACAACACTGGTTCAGGAGTCAAAGAGACCTGAAGCCTGGTAAACAGCCCTGTTACTGCCAACTGCAGGTCACTTTAGCATGCTGAGCCTTAGTGTCTTCCTCCATATAAATAATGGGATTTACCAGTTTATAATTGTAAGAATTGTGGCTGGGCTCAGTGGCTCACACCTGTAATACTGTCACTTTGGGAGGCTGCGGTGGGTGGATTACCTGAGATCAGGAGTTCGAGACCAGCCTGGCTAACATGGTAAAACCTGATCACTTCTGAAAATACAAAAAATTAACCAGGCATGGTGGTGGATGCCTGTAATCCCAGCTACTTGGGAGGTTAAGGCAGGAAAATCGCTTGAACCTGGGAGGCAGAGGTTGCTGTGAGTCAAGATCGTGCCACTGCACTCCATCCTGGGCAACAAAAGCGAAACTCCGTCTCAAAAAATATATAGTAAAAAATTTGTTAGGACTCACAATGTGCCAGGCACTATTCTAGACATTTTAACATGGATTCACTCAGTCTTTGCAGCAATTTCAAGAAACAGTTGCCATTATTATGCCCATTTTCCAGAGGAAGACACTGAGGTACAGAGAGGTGGATTTGCTGACGGTCAAACAGTTAATAAGTGGCTTCAGAGTCAGTGCTCCATTAGACAATACTTTTAAAGGTCCTTCTTGCTTGATCATTATGTAATTCTAGCTGATTCATAATGTACCTATATTTAAAGTATGTTTGACCTAGAATAGCAGACTCTATTTCAGGGGTGGGAAATGGGGAGGAATTCAGGAGTGAAGAAAGCTTTGACTCCCCCTTGTTGTGCATATGTTTTGCCACAAGGAAATTTTCTAACCTTTGCTTTCTACTTTGTAGTTTTAGATCCTTTGCCTGCCCACTTAGCTGATAGAAGGGCTGCTGTCCTAAACTCCAGACAGCCGTGGGCTGCTTGCGCCTCTCCAGCAAGTTAAGGCTCAAGCACATTGCATTACTGCATTCCAAAAATAACAGAGGCCTGCCTCATACTGGCCAGATGGTTTTCATTAAGGATGTGCTATAATTTTGTTCCCCTCAAGTGGAGGAAGGTGACTCTTGCCGTATATACTAGTGCTGTGTGAACAGTATAAGGAAGATATCTGGAATATAAGGATTCTTGGTTTCACAACCACTGGGCAATCTTTTTTGTTGTTAACATTTTAACATCTTTACTGAGATAATTCATAAGCCATAAAATTCATTTAAAATGCACAACTCAGTGATTTTAGTATATATAAAAAGTGCAACAATTACCATGATCAATTTTAGAACATTTTCATTATCCCAGAAAGAAACCCAGTATCTACTAACAATCACTCCTACACCTGCCCCCTTGCTGTTGGCAATCACTAATCTGTCTGCACAGATTTGCTTCTTCTAGACATTTTATATAAATGGAATTATATAATATGTGGTCCTTTGTGGTTGGCTTCTTTTTAGCATTGTGTGTGTGTGTGTGTGTGTGTGTGTGTGTGTGTGTTTGGATAGCATGTATCAGAACTTCATTCCTTTTTATTGCCAAATAATATTTTATTGTATGTGTGTACTATATTTTGTTTATCCATTTTCAGTTGAAGAACATTG